AGCCTGTAGCGATGCCCAGGGTAAGATGGAGTGGAAAGACTCCAGGCATGTTATAAGGTACTTTATAAATACCAAGAGAGACAGGAGAAAAATCTACCAATAATAATACAAAAAAGCACAGAGGAGAATAGACTCTGGGGAAAGAGAGTGAACTGCAAATTAAGAGAACGGCACTTGGGGGAAAAAAGTCTGCCACTGCTGACAGCAAAAAGAGGTAGGGAGATCTGCAGAAGGAAAAGATAATCTGAATCAAAATGGAAAAAAAAAAAAATCCTCCTGTGCTTTTTCTCAGGACATTTGCAATGGAGTGAGGAGGCAGGAAAACAGACAAGAGGACACCGAAACAGCAGTAACACCACTTGTCTGAACACAGGAAGGGGATGCAAGACACGACTATGAGAGAAATACAGTAACAAAAATTACTTAATGAGCAACAAGAACAGATATAAAGTCATACAGTTTAGAATATTACTACATAATATGTTTAACTATAAATATTGTGTGATAAGATAATAATATACTAAGTGCTGTGCATTTCTTCTCATCATAGTGAAATCTGAGTGTTTACACATTGGGTACAAACTGCCTACTATGAGTTATCTAACAAGGGCGGAAGAACCCAGAAAAGAAAAACAAGGTTAAAGAACAGCTTGCCATTGTTAACATCAGGTACCAGATCACTTCACACTAGTGATTTACACATATTTAACACTGCTGTGTACAAATTTCAAAGCTGTAAAAAATAGCCTCTCAGGACATGATCTGGAATCTGCCATTATATAAACAATCCAGTAAATGATGTAGAAGAGTGCACGCAATCCACTTTCTGTGGTAACAGAGTCTCTTCCGTGTTCATTGCACATACTTTGGATCTTGTCTGCAACCTACTTACCTTAAAAGCATTAGTCAGCAACATGTTAAAGCACATGTTAAAAGAGCACAAAACTTAAAACCCAAATAAACTTATCTCTAGAGCTGTGGCATTGGTAGAGCAGTTTTCCAGCGCAATATTTTAAACAGAAAATAAACACACACTGATATTTCACAAAATATTTATGTTTTCATAATTATCATCACCATAAATTTCTCATCATTATTATGACGGGTAATTAGGTTTCCTCAAAAGCAAGGTTTTGGATAAATTTTAAAGTTACAGTATTTTGTTTTGGGCACCTACCGAGACAGATCTGAAGAACTAGACAAGTCAATTCACAGAGCCAATTTGACATAAATAAGTCACAGACACATTGTTATCAGGTCTCTTCCAACAAGGAAAACAGATTTTAGGTTCTGAGTATAGGGACTGCAAAATACTGTGTTTAGTGATAATATTTTCAATTATGAAAACTAAAGTCAAGCTGTGTGAACTAGTTAGTGCAGTATTAATTTTGTTTGCTGAACAAGACCAGCTACAATATCATTTTACATTAAATTCCCATATTAACACTTTCCTCTGAAGTACTGACGATACTCAGCCAATTACAAATTTATATGAGAAGATCACATTAAGATAATGAGTCCAACTGCTATATACAAATTACACTGTACTGTTGCAATACTGAGTTAAAACTGGATTATTAATATGAAACAAACAGAACCTGCACTGCTGGGTGCAGGGGACGCTACACTCTCTGTTACGAACTACAGTCCGCGAATGGCCTCAGCTCTGGTGTACCTCCACCTGTAAAATACAACTCACCATACTTACCTCTCTCTCGGGGGCATTTGGAAGTACTAGGCTCGTAAAGTGCTTAAGTACTAAGTAGTACCATCATTTTAACATCACATCGTCAAGGCAGGGACAATGCATGGCAACCAGCTACGGCAGCAAGCTGTTTATCACATCAGCAAAAGTAGTGATCAACTCCTGAAAGTTTAAATTGTGTTTCACTTAAAACAGTCTTATAAACATGAGTTTTCATTAATGAATTACAGGTACGATTTGCCGGGCTATCTGTAATTTGCCACACATTTTAATCACATATAACTGAACAGGCACATTCTTACCTCAACATCCTTTTTGAGTTTCTCAAGGAACATCTTTTTGTTGCTCTCATCAATATGAATCTTTTGGCCATCGTTAATAAAATCATTGTCTTTGAACGTCGGCAGCTCTTTGGCCTAAAATAAACCAAAAGTCCTGTAAGAGCGGAATCACAGATAGGTGTGCGGTGAAGCTGCTGGTCTGATGCGGACCCCCGCTGGCAGTGGAGCCTCCAGAGCTTCCCTGTGCCCGACAGGGCACTGCTGAGCCACCTCTCCAAGGGGAAGCAGAGGCAACACCATCCCATGCAGCTCTCCATAACTGCACACACGGAGCTATCAGCTTAGTTTATCCCTCCTGTAAACAGCCTATCAGATATACATTTACTGGGCATGCAGCAAATGTAGCTAAGACAAAAATCTCTGACCCAATACTTGATTTGCATTGAAACTTGGTTTGCATCGCGCTTCTTCCAAGATGTCATTTGTCAAAGTGACTGGCAATAAGTGAGGCTGAAACGCAATCTGTACCTCATAACAAAGTGCTTGCATCCGATCTTATGGATGAAGTCAGATTGGATCACATTGTACACAGCTATTGTGAATGGTTTTAAGTGCCTCATACCAAATAATTATTTAAAAAGTGGACATGAATTATGTAACGCTGCCTAGAAGCAGTAAATGCCAAAGAACAACACTGCCTTCTAAATAAGTTATTAAACATTCTTGATGTTGGAGCATTAGTTGATTATGTTCATCTTTCACTCTCCCACGAAGTAATTTGCAACAGCGTTAAGGAAAGACAGAAAATTTTGTAAGACCAGTGCAGAGTAACTATTGGTTTCAGTACTAAGACCCCTCAAAGGGGCTCTTTTCAGAGGGCAGTGACTGGAAGTTTACTTGAGAAAAAAAAAACCTAGCAAGCCAACAAAAAAAAAAAAGCAGTTGCTTTGGTGTATTTGGCCAAGCAAACTAGAAGTAGGAGTAGCTTCTCCAATCAGAGCTTTTAAAAGATGGGCCCATTAACAGCAATGAACAGCCTTTCTCCCTGCACCCACCTTTAAAAGAGAGTAGGGAAGAACAGGTTTTTGACAGAGAAAATGTTGCAGAACAGCCAAGTGCTGCAACCCTCAATGACCACGAACTAATGGGTACCTTGAATAAAACAATTTCCCCTTAATCTGAAAGTTCTTCTACTAGGAATAAAAGGCAGCTAACATCAGCCTACTGGAATGTTCTCCGTAAGTTTAACGAGTCTGACATTGCTTATAACCTTACTGGAGACAGTATTTTTCACAAGGTTTATTTTCTTCCTACAACACAGTACGGAAAAGAACCTCGGAGGTTCTTTTCTCGTCTCCAACATGTACATATCGGAAAGCACAGCATTAAAATGTGAGCATCACGGTAGACCCTGAAATGCCCTTACAGATCTTCACAGTGGCCAAAAGTTCTCTTCGCTGCTAGGCTGTGCACAGAAATGACTGAAATGCTCAGTTCCCCAACTGCCCATACTTATGTTTTGGACCTGGAACTTTTGAATTGCTCAAGATGCCACAATATTGTTTTTGTTCAGAAAAGTGACCCTTCTCTTCCAATTACTGCTCAAAACCAATGAAGCAACTAGTAACATTTTAATAGTTATGAATCCATGTTAAATCCGTTGCATTCTGACACCTATGAACTCTGGAGAAAAAATAACATCCTAGTCTGGCTGCTCTGAATTATTATTGTGTTGCACCAAGAACATTCTGATCTATTACAATACCCTCTGATAGAGATCCTATAATTTAAAATAAAATGAAAAAACCCCAAGCAGCTGAGATGGAGCTGTAACTTACTCATCCATCCCAGACCCCTTCCATGGAGGAGCCATCCTGCAGTGCTCTGCTGCTTCACTTAAAGATGACGTCACACTTCTTGAAGCTCACAATAAATTGTTTACTACAATATGCCAGCACAGTGTGCATCAATTTTCTTTCTAGACTACTCATAACTGGTTTAGGATGAAAATGAGTAGGGGAAACATCAGATAAACATTCCAGATTAACAGCTGTAGAGATTAGCATACACAGTCGAGCGAACTGTTCCATGGACGAGGACTAATTCTGCAGGGGCGGGACTGCAGATCCAGGGATGTTGCCAACACCAGAGGATGGAATCCAGTGCGTGGGATGCTTAAGAGTGCAGAAGAGATTTGGATGAACTAATTTAGGATGAGAAAATAATGAAAAGAATGCAGAAAACCAACCTCCATTTCTAGCCCAAAGCTACTAAAAAAGAAAAATCCCCAGATTATCTTTTCATTTCATATATCCAAATTATTTATTAATCCAGGCAGAGGGTAAAGTGAAACAAACCCATTAACTCTGGAAAAAAACCCTATTAATGCTGTCTGAAGCTGGGTAGTGGGTAAAGAGGAAGGATGTGCTTGTGGTTAAGAAGCTGAGATGCAGGTTCATCTGTAGGCTCTGCCACAGACTTCCTGTGCAGCACAGCATCTGCCACTCAGACCCGGCGGGAGGGGGAAGCACGCTTTGCACCAAAGACAGTCCTATCTTCAGTAAAAATCAACTTGCATGAAAAGCAATGTCTTTGTGGAAGATGCTAGAGCTGGCAAGCCGGTCGTGCAGGTGCCACGCACTACTTTAACCTTGTCTCTAATCTATTTTTAATAAACATGAGCGAGCAAAGCTGACAGAGCCACATTTCTTGCCTGCCATCGTAACACCCATGGGGTACTTCCAAGGACGTTTGGGGCAGTGAATCAGCTCTCTCCAAAAGGCAGACTCTTCACTGCCTCAGTGCAGGCTCCCACCATCCCCAATAATGCCTCTGAGGATTTTTCTCAGAGGTCATTTTTCTTCACCCAAAACGACTGTAGCTGGGAAGGCCTGGCAAGTGCAGAACTGCAGAAATTAAAAACCAGTACCAAGGCATGTGAACAAAAAGGAAGAAGAAATAAAAGCGGTGGGTTCTATATAACAAACTGAACCTAAAAAACCCAAACAAACCCAAACCAAACACTACATGCCAGCAGTTGCCCTCACCACATGATTTGTATGATGCCTCCCAGCCTATTCTCTTCCCTCTTTCCAGGTGTTAGCAGACAAAACTTTATTTTGGTGTGCTAGCCAATATAATTCTCTTTAAAGCTCAATAGCCCTAGGATACTGTTCCAGTCCCAAATATTCCTAATGACAGCCAGCACTAGCAGCAATTCTAGTAGTACTTTAACTAAAATGAATGTCTTAAAATTGATTTGTGAATTCAGGAATTAAAACCTATGAAATATGCGACTAGGAGGAGCTCTTGTAGTTATTTAAAATCCATAATATATGTGTTCATATTGAAAAATCCTAACAGGTACATTTTTTTCTTACACACCAAAACAAATAGTAACAAAGAAAACCACATTGTGGCAGTTTAAAACACTATGTGAATGAAAAAAATTGAGACTTTGCTTTAATGAAATAATTGATATGGTTAATTTTTCATGAAGTCTCAAATATTTCCAATGAAGCAAAATCCTTGTTGGAAAAAGATTCTCCCAGAATGTAATTCATTATAATGAACATACTACTATCATTAAAGAACTAAATATTTTAAGAGCTGCACAGGAGATGAACATCTAACTACTTCCACTAAATTAATAATAGATTTTCTTTCTGAACCATCTCCATAATTTTTAATCCCCTACTTAATGCAATAAAGGCACAATAGATTTTAAAAATATGAAGTATTTATTTATTAAGAAAACCCATGTTATTTGCACACTTCAGGTTTGCATTCCGAAGTTTGCCATGGTCACAGAGAATTTTAGTGGCAGGAAGATTTCACTGTATTTAAAAAGGCTGAAAAGCAATAAAGTATCATTTGACTAAGATGACAGAATGTGTAAACCCTGACTGAAAAAACTGAAATTGTGGTGAAACAGTCCACTGACACTGATTTGGAAAAAACACAAAATTCTTGTAAGATAAGAATCAGGTGAAATTTTATTTCTAAATGAACATGGAACTAGTTTTTGGAGATTCCTTAACAAATCTCAATTCAGCATCCTATCCTAAGATTAGCAATTTTCATTTTTCTAAAGGGATTTTTGCGTGTCATGACCAAAAATAATGCTCATGGCTAACATTAATGCTGACATTTTAGAAGTAGCTCGCACAAACAGCTGTAGGACAGTTAGGTTTCAAAATAAATCTTGGACTGAAAAAGGAAAAAGACTGTCTTAACAATCTGGCAGCAATTTCTCACCTAACAAAGGCAAAGATTAGGTTGTAGGAGAGGTTGCGTAGCAGTCTTATTGTTTGGAAGGAGCCATGAGTCACGTTATTCACACAGCTAATCAGGGCAAAATTGTGCTTACAATTTATAACTTTTGAAAATGGTATAAAACATCTGTGAAGAGTGAAGTTCCACAGCCTGGGCTTCTTTTAACAGCAAAGGACTCACATGTACTTTAAAAAAAAAAAAAAAAAAAAAGTAGGTTAGACTAACTTGAGACTGACTATGCTCAGCAGCATATATAGAAGAGAGTATTTTTGAAAAAAGGATATTACACCAAATATTGTTTGCAATAATTTGGCAAAAGTGGTTTTGAACTGAATCAAAAATCTGGAATCACTACATTTACATGACGGAAGAATAACTAGAGGTCTCTTTGGAAGTCTGACGATCACAGCTTCTTCCCTCCAGTAGTTATGGGAGCTAGGTCCAAACTTCTGTTGTACAATTTGCCTTGTCCTAGACAGGGGTTTCTAACCAAACGAGGGTCTGCAGCTCCACTTGCCATCACAGGACTGTAAATGGCACTGGAAATAGAGCTGTAACCCCAAAATGGTGTTTGAGAGGGAACACCGGAACTGTTTTAGCCAGTGTAAGTCATTTTTATAGAACAACAAAAGCTGCAGGACCTTGTAGTTGGATTAGGAATTTGAGCACGTACCAAAATAGTAACTATGCGCCTTTTCAATGCTAAGGGAAATGCATCCAGAATTATCCCTAGGGTTAATGTCTTCCTGCGGTAAAATGAACATGCAACATATAAAATGCAAGACAAAGTTCCCCCCCCCCTTTTTTTTTTAACATATGGAAAACAGACAAAAAACCCCACCCAAACAAAGAAAAGGCAAACTAGTGATTTGTTCTGAAAAACAACAATGTGGTTGGTTGAAGGCTAAATACTGAAATAGGAATCTGAACTCTGAATGTCTATTCTTGCACTGTGATGTTCTGGAAGTTGTCATCTCTTTACATACAGCCTTGGGATTCATTTCACAGAAAAACTGAAGACATGACTGACATGTCTGTTGTACAAGACTGGCATAGGAAGGAGACTGAAATCACTAAAAGAAGTTAAAAATGTTCTGAAATAAGAATTTTAAAATGGCAGGAAAAAATGGTTCAGATTTTAGGATGATCTACCCTGAAGTTTTACCATCTGACATCAAAAGAAAAAATTTGCGAATAAGCAATCTTGTTGCTATGCCCCTGTACTAAAATCCTTTCTTTAGCTATAATTGTCCTATCAGAAATCAATTAATTACTATATGTTGTAATACATAATGTAGAATGTAATGCCAAGAAGTGATTTGTTACATCTGGCAGCATCTTCCAATCTATTTATCAGAGCTACGTATTTTGCATGGTATTTAACTAAGATGCAAAATAGCTGTCAACTATAGCAATTTTTTTTACCCCAAAGGAACTTGGATAGAAAATCCTCTGTTCAAACGTATTTCCGTGATTTTTTTGCATTTATGCTTAGTTATGAAACAACACATACCACACAATTGGCAATGCAACCAGTTTTAGATTAATTTAAAACCATAATAAACTATGAAATTGCTCAAGAAAGATGAAATAAGGTGGGCTTCAAGTTCAGTTAGGTTTTATTTTTCTTCTTCTAATTGTCTTCTAGGTTGCTCACTCACAAACAACATGCTAAGTTCTTCGTAAGTGCAAGTACACGCAGCTGTAACTGCCAATTTGATGTGGTACTGTAAAGTGTAATTGTGAGCAGGTAGACCAGCAAGGGAGTTATGCATTATTCTGGTTTCACTTAAGAGGGCAAAATCGGCCAAGGAATGAATAGAAAATACCCACCATTAAAGTAATAAAATTTAAAAACTAAAGAGAACTAAAAATTCTATAAAGAGAAAATAAAGATTCTAAAAAAAAGAAAAAAAAGAAGAAAAAAGAGCAGCTGTCAGAATTTGACAACTGTTGAAACACTATGTTCCTTTTAAATTCAATACATCTGTAAGTGTATGTTACGATACTTGTTTCCAAGAAAGTGATGCTTTTACTATTAAAAATATCACTTATAATACACAATTCCTCTCATTTGCATTAAGGTGGAATCTGAGGGATGGAGCTTGTCTCTGCACTGATTATCACGAAATATTGAAATGACAGTTTCAGAGCTTCTCATCAGTATGTTAGGATATTAAACAGCTGAAGACAGTCAAACAGGAGATAAACTGAAAATACGACAGAAAAGTAAAATTCTCAAAGTAATTCCAGCCAGCTTTTCTTCCTAAACCTGATTTTAAAAAACATGTTTGAATACCATTTTACACTACTAAAGTAGAAAAAAAATACATTTTTTCCCCTGATTTCTTATTTTACAGCCCATTAAATCTTTCTTCATAATTGCCTTTTCTTTATTAAATAAGTAAATAACAAAGGAGTAGCTCAATAGGAAAAAGGTTCAAGAACATAATTTCAGCCAAGTTTGATATTTCAAAGTAATTGATCTAAAATTTGCAGTCAGCATTAGAATGTGACTGAAAGAATTGCTCTTCAGTTTTCTGACTTCTACAGCTTTAAAGAAAGCTAACATACTGTGCTTGATATTCTCCAAACCATTTGATTACTTGAATATTGGCGTTTGAAATTAAATATGAATTACATAAAAGACCATTTGAAAACTACAGCATTGCCAGACATTTTAACACCAAAAGCTTCCTGTATTTTATTACTTTTCTGTTTTTCAGATGTGAATAGCAGCGGATACCTTTATAATAAGTAATTAAATAATGCTGCCATTAATTGGAATTCTATTATTATTAATGTCATTTCAGGGTGATATTAATAAATTGATGATTTAACATACCTCAAGCTAAAAATCAGCTAGTAAGTTAATACACCAGCTGAGTATTTGAGATCGTCTGGTTTTGTTTAATCATTCAGAGCGATTTCTTCTAATACAGGAGATGCTAAAACCTCTTCAGAGCACTCGCTCAAATACCTTTTTTTTCCAAGCTAAAATTTTCCAGACATTTTGACATCTTTAAAGATTGGCTTGAGATTCCCACAGAAGTCAATAAACAAGAAGTTTGAAATAGGGACATCTACTTAAGAGAAAACTGAATTGAAAAACCGTGTTACAGGGCCCTCACTTGGCAGTTACGACTAATGGACCATTTACATACTCGTGTCCTCCGCTCAGTCCTCAAGGCCCTGAAATCAGTGCCACACACATGCACAGATTCATCTCACCATAGCAGCTGTTTAGTACTGCTCAGAGTGTCAAGAGCAAACTTTCTTTGTCCATTCGTATAAATACACAACTCCCTTTTTATTTAAGCTTAAAAACTGTGCGTTAGAAACGCTTAAGTAGTTTAGATGAGTAAACCACTGCAGTTCTAGTGCCTACTGCAGGAGATTCAGATCACAGTGACGATGAATGCTCTGAACATCTACAGACACGTGGTAATGTATTCTTCTGCCCCTTTCAAATCAAACAGCAGACTCCAAAACTTAGACAAAAAGACATGCAGTAAGCAAAATATTATTTTTCCCTTGCTTGAAACCCTACAAGTCTTTCTTACTGTATTTGTAAAATGTTGTTCCCTCTGTGGACTTGAAGTCTATCCAATTAATTCCTTTTCTTAGAAATGTTTATTCTGAGTGTTAGGCTTGTGGCTTCCCTGCTGCGCTGCATGCATTGCTGTTTGAGGGGAACGATGAGCAACAGAAGGCTGTTCGAACAGCCTCAGACCGTCTTTTTGCAGCACCAATAAGCTTAGTGTAGTTCTGTCTCCAAGAAATCAAATTCCTTTGAAAAGAAAATAATGTCTGAGATTTAAAATAGTAGAAGGATAATTTGGGGGAGCAGGTTAAAGGGGTTTTGGTTTTTTTTTTTTTTTTTTTTTTACATTTCTTTCATAGAAGAGCTCAAAATGAAAGGGGAGATTCTAGATGTGTTCTAGTTGATAGGAATTTTTGGCACTGGCCCGACAGCTACTGCATGCCCCTTACTCTTCAGCGCACTTGTGTGATCTGTAGAAGACTCAAAGGCAGGCATGGTACAACTAATGCTTAGGGGAAAAACAAATGATCTAAATGGAATTTGGGGACAACACAAAATGAAGTCTTTTAAGTGAACTGCTGAATGATCTTATGCTAATTCAGAAGGAATGTGTTTGAAAAAATTAAGAAAACAAGTGTCATGGGTTCCTAGACTTCGCCCAAATCTGGCAATCTAAGAAGTCATAGATGATGGAGACTGTTCCACCTTCAATTCTCTGTAGGATCTCTAGACAAACCTCTACTAAAGCACCTTCAGACTATTTCACAGAAATCTGAGAGAAATGTTGATTTTGAGAACATTAAATTTTCCAAATGAACAGAAGTAGGAGATGGAGAAAAACAAAGTGATCAAATTCCTGTTAGAGGAAAGTTTCAGCCTAGAATTTGAGGGAAACTGTCTCTCATTATAGCTTCATGTACATCTAAGACTGTCAATTGTTTGCTCACTTGTATGAGCTTTACATACCCAAAGAATCTCACAATTCAGTTTGTTTCATCTTTACATTCACTTTAGAAGTGGTGCCAATATCACATCATTCCATTAACTGACATGGAGTATCCATAAATCTCAGTATTAAAGAGCAAGAGAAAGAAGATGAAGCAGCAGGAGAGAAGAGAAGAAAGTCCTGATGTTTTCCTACCACAGGGCAGGCCCTGAAGAAGAAGAAAGGAAAAGGAGGAGGTAGAGGATTGGCTCACTTACCTCTGAAATCTCAACACCATTGCAAACCAATATTCAAAGGTCTGCAGAAAATAGAGGAAAGATAAAGGAGGGAATAAGGTAGAACTCAAGAGGGGAGTATATGACAGAAAATAAAGAAAAGGGACAGAACAGCACTGGTTATGTTTGTTTGTCCTGAGACTAGCTAGCAGTTAGACAACTGAAAAAGAAAGAGAAATGCACCATACCTTTTCTTTGTCACTGGCTTCTCGAGCCACAGTAGAGCCCTGAAACAGAAAAAATGGATCTAAAAATGTGCATATGTCAGAAACTAATTTGAAAATGTTACGATAACAGGTCAAAAAGCGGATGAACTGAATCCTTCTGAGCTTGAGAGCTGTTTCAAAGAAAGGTGATACAGTAGGTAGAATGCCCAGGGCTGCTGAACTGCTGCAATCACTTGAAGATGATGTATCATGAAAGAAGAAAGATGAATTAAATCCTGAAATGCTCTACACCTATTGTCCTCCTCTCCCTCACGTCTCATCCTCATATTGAGACTATCATCCTGGAAGTTGAGTTTGCTTGGCAGACTTCTCATCTTTTTGTGCCAAGGTAGCTGTACAGTTATGGAACAGCCTATTCTATATGACTATTTGAACATATGTCATACACATTCGAAAAGGATGCACACAATATAAACACATAAAAATATTCAAAAAGATCACAGAGTACAAACAAGAACAAAGCACCTCACAGCAACATGAAGTCAAAAGAAGAGATGAAACCAACTGTGGATTCATAAGATTTACAGTGCTTGCCAAAGACATTTTGGATATTTAATTTATAGTTTTAAAGTTTTTTTTTTTTTTGCTTAAAACTAGTAGGCAATATGGTGCTTTCTGAATAAGCTGGAGTTGACAAAAAAATGTCTGTATATATTTCCTTGCAAATTTCTTGGAGCAGGACCACACCTTTAAGTACCCAGCATTTGCTTATCACATAATAGCACTACAAGAAGTAACTATAAACATGATAATTGGACATTGAAAGATGGGCAAATTAGCTCTATTTTTTGTTGGAAGGTGTGCATTTTGTAATAAGTACTGGAGTGGAGTCATACTAGTTTAAAGAATGTGAGGATTCACAACCACATCTTTTTACACCATGTTTTATTCTGTTTGCAGAGAGAAACTTAGAAAGAATGGAGAGAAAAGGTAAATTGGACAGTACTTTGGCAGTTATTATGTATGGCCCAGCAAGCAGGGATTTAATTACACTATATTGTTAGATGATAATAAAGCCTGGTAAAACCCTAACATTTTAGTTTACTGATGATACACCTTTTATGCTGTATTCTGTGCTCCAACAGACTGTTCGGCCTGAAAAAAAGATCAGCTGAAAACCAAACTGGAGGGAAAAAATTGGATTTACAACAGTAAAATTAGGGACATGGCTATATTTTACACTGAAGCCATTTTAATAAAATGGCTCAGTGACCAGGAAAATACCTTTAAAATCCTATGCTACTCTGTGGTCTCTTTTTCTTAGTACCTATATAGGTAGAGACTTGAGCTACAAGTGAACTCTAAGCTGGTATCAAAAATACTCATATAAAAAAGGTCTCTGAACCTACAACTGCAGATGATTGTAGCAATGAAAAAAATCAAGAAAAAGTGATTTATAATATATGCAGTGTCACTATAAATCTGCTCAGTGAAGGGGTTTGTTTTCAAGAATAATGAGATTGATGTTAAATTTAAGTTGCAAGAGAAGTTTATCTTTAAAGCAATTCTGTCCAGCTGGACAAACTGAATAGAGCACAGAAGCATTCACAGAGGTAAACAATAGCAAGAGCTGTTGACACCAATGCTAAGAATGTACTGCATATCATTTGTTTTTCTGTTATGCTTTTGTCCCTTTTTTTAATGCACCTGGACATTACGATGCCCTAACACACATACAGTTCTCTCAAATTAAAAAATATCTTTATTTGGTAAGCTCTGCTGCCAATAACACTAAATACCAAAAAGTCAGTTGTTGACAATCTGGAAATCAGTTCTTATAAACCACATTAAGTCAACTATCTAAACACCTGCTAAGTAGATACTTCACAGTAGGAAAGGATGGTGCAGTACATGGCATTACAAATCTCTTAATATACAATGCTAAATAAACACCTTAAAACAAATTTGCAGATGCACTTAGTGGTTCAACACATAGAAATTGAATGTGTTAGGAAGAAATAGGTTTCTATGAGGAGACTTTATGGAGGAAATTAAAATACAATCCCTTTGGTAGATAGGCTAAGACTGTATTTGGGGAATTCATTGTAAGCACTGTATATTAACCATTGACAAAGTTACAATGAGCAGATAAACCTTCTGAAACAAAACTAAAACACACCTTATAGAATCATAGAATGGTTTGGGTTGGAAGGGACGTTAAATATCATCTAGTTCCAACCCCCCTGCCATGGGCAGGGACACCCTCCACTAGACCAGGTTGCTCAAAGCATAAGAAATAGCCTTTTTTAAAAAAAAAAAAAAATCTGTTGCTTTAATCATAAAAAGGCTATTTTTTTATAAGAACCTTCTCTTTTTTACTTGAATTATTTTTAAAATACAGAATGAACTACGAAGCATTTGTCACAGTGATGAACTTTATTAGTAGCATTTTATTGGTTTAAGTCACAATGATATTTATTTATTTATAAAAGCCCTCTGCAGAATCAGATGTTGCTTTCCATAATGTTGGTAAAAACCTATAGGAAGTGGAATTATTATTGTACTTGGTTAAAGGTAAAACTCTTCGCACATTAGTTACATTTAACAAGCACACCTGGTTAAATTGCTCAGTTTAAAAACACACAATATAAACAAATTTGTACATTTTGTATAAAATCATCCTTCAGTTTTGCTAAACCTAGATGCAGAAGTAAACAAGTTAATGCTGGCTCTTACATAACACAAATTTAAATTAATTAGAATTCTGAGCAATAGTCAAGCATCAGGATAATCTAACATTTATAATAAAGACTTTCAGCTACTTCATGAGTTATTTCATCAGCAGTTGTTCCTCACCTTTAAATCATATTTTCTATAAACAGATAAACGATGGCTGAAGACATTTCTTGTAACAATCATATATACTTCAACTCCATCAACAGTAAGCCGGTACATGCCCAAAAACTGGGGAAGAAGTGTATTCCCATGACATTCCACAATAAACTGCAGAAGCAAAAGAAAAAACAGAAATGAGGATGAATACGTGTTATAAATATATATTTTTACATTTTTAAAGATAAAGCACCCAGAAACACCACATTTATTTGCTGAATATACATTTACGTAAACCTTCCAAAAATCATGCTAAAACAAACCCCTTCCATCAGGAGGTTATCCTGCTTTTAGGCCAGTGTTTAAAAAAAATTAAAATCTTGAACTGCTTAACTTGTAACTTAACTTTTATAGACAATCTCATAGAAAGAACAGGCTCCATTTGACAGTCATTTCCACTTTTATGGTCCAAAAAGCACACCTAACGCAGATAACTGATATCAGAAACCAAACATTTTTTTTCAAACATCATATTGCTGTATTTTGTACTCCATTGTCCTAGGCTGTATACAATTTGTATGTTTCTCTGCTCTCAATATTTGTTTTTTTTATGATAAACATCTATGGTGCTGTCACCAGCAAGGGATATTATTTAGTATCACCAGCTTCCTGCTAGTTCCCACGTGACGGCTGCATTTCAGGGTCAATAGAGTTGAACAGTGAAGTGCAAGATCCATGTATTTTTTATTTACAAATCATTATATTTCTTTAAGGTGACCATATTCCATTACAAATGGGCGATTAACTTGTAAAAATTTGCCAACTGCACTTGAAAACTGACTTATTTTTTTAAAATCACATGCCTTACAACTAGTAGTTTGAAGTCCTATTGGAAAGGCTACTGGAGGAAGCAGAAAAAGTACAGGCTACATTGCCGAGAACTATTGAAGAATTAATATTTAACCCCAGAATAAAAACGCCCATGTTGTATTAATCCTAAAGCCAACTCAAACAGATCCAGTCATTTTGTGGAACCAAGGAAAAGTTAAGCCACAATGATGCAAACCAGAAAAGGACTCACCAGCTTTCCTCCTTCTTTTATTATGAAGTCTCAAACAGAAGAACTTGGAGAAAATTTAAAAATTCAAGCCCCAAATAGGAAACATGAAAACTAAGCAACAGTCAGCTTTTTAAGCAGATCAGCTTTTAAATATTCGTTAAATACTGAAGCTGCTGTTTCTTTTGTGCCAGATGACCTGGTTATTAGAAACACATTATTCTAAAATACACAAGACTTTAGTACAAGTTAACTGAATAAACAATTTGAATTATTTAACAAAGGTAGTTAGCATTTGGTAACAAACATAACAAATCTCTTGGAACCCCAGATATTTTGCAATTTTGAGTTCCTCTGTTAGTTTTAAGGAGTTTGTCTCACTAACTTAATACTGGAATCTGCACATATCACGTACAGTCTTCCCTTTTTTAAATGGCAAAACAGAAACAGAAAGATTCAAGAGTCCTGAAAACAATCCTGTCCAGCAAGAAAGAAAGAGAATGAACAAGAAAGATGGAAATTGTTGACTGTGAACTGAACATAATTTTGACTATCAGCTCTGACTCATATCTTGCTGGCACGGTTTGGGCTGTAAAACTCCTTTCCCTCTGCCCCATCGCTTGTAAGCCCGGGAGGTTACAAGCCCTGAGGCAGAGAACATGCAGTCACACTGCAGTTGTGACACTTCACAGTGCAGCATTTTTAAGCTAAAACTGCTTATGAATGGGCAACACATCTTAAGCCACTGCAGAGGCTCAGTGACAAAATTAGAACCTTAGGAAGGAAATAACGTTTGTATGCTCCAAAACACAAAGCAGCTTGACAGTGTAAGGCCACAAAAGCGATGTCAGTCCTGAGCAGTGCATGAAGATTGATCATTTTTCATCTGACAAGCACTTCTGGTTTTAACAGATGCAGAAGTTGTAAGATAGAGCTCTTGAACTGAAGGACTTTCAATCACAGGGCTGTTATCAACCTCACAGAGAAGTTATAATGCGTTACAGGATAGGTAGCTCATTCTGACTATCAGTCATTTCTCTTAAAGATCTGATCATAAAGTTAAATTAGAACTATTAATGCTGGGGTTACAGAAAACTTGTTTAAAATACTACTCCCTATTATCCAAACTAAATTTCTCTTGTCATAAACATCAAGTACTTGGCATATACCCTAAAGGTAAATACTTCTCTAATGCTTTAGAAGGCAGGAAGGGTTGTTCTCACAAAAAACCATTTACTGAGTGATTCCTTCTTTAAGTGAGGTGATTAGTTTCTGCCATGATGACAAAAAAAAAAAAAAAAAAAAATCTAGCTTCCAAGAAGAGTTTAGCACCACAGAAATTCAGGCCACTCAACTGTTAAATGGATTCATGGGTTCCTAATCTTTTGGCTCTTAACTAGGGAACCTGAATTCCTGTGCAGTAAAAGAAATACTATTGTTCCAGTTTTCCATATGGGGCTCAGACAAAGTTTTATCTGAAACCAGTTGGTGCTATGTGAAGGAATGGCACCTAAGCATCTCAAGCACCAGACTAAAAACTCCATGCCTTTCCCCTTAGCTGCTAAGGCACAGTCTTGACACTTAAACCACCTCCCCAATCCCATCTATTGCCAACTCTCCAACTTTAACCTCTGGGGCCTGACTGTCCCCATCTGTAAAACAGCAATGTCATTAACACAGAACATGTCCATCATACCCACTGTAATAACATCAAATAAATCCTTTGGTTAGCAGTATACAACCCCTTCCCAAACTGTTCTGTATCACATGACAAGGCAGAAAAGGCAATTAATGTGAGTTGCTTAAGTCCTGTTTGTAAGTTAGAGTCAGCCATTTGCCAACACTGTTGTTTCATTTTCATATTTTGCAAGCAAGTCTTCTGAAAGAGCAGTGTCACCAGCATGCAACACAGGACGTGAAGGTCTCTGCTAGTATTGCTCTTCACTTGATAAAAAGGGACGTGGCCATGTTTTTGCAGACTTCTAAGAGACCTCAAAAGCAGACCATGTGCCGCAACAGTTGTTTCCTACTCAGTGCTGACTGTGGACACCCATGCCATTGCAATTTAAAGAAAAGCCCCTAAAATGATTTCAGTGTTTCCCATGACAGCTTTTTTAATCCTGAGGAGGAGACAAAGGAAAGAGGGAGGAATGCCACTTGCTTTCATCGTCTACAAGGTTGGTCTAGAACTTCCTACCTTTGAAACTATCAATCCCCCATATCTGCATCACAGAGGAGGCAAAACGTGTCATCTGTTTGGGTGGGAGCCCAGCAGGACTTGCACTGGTGACTGTGGTTGGCAGATTTTCAATTTGTCCATCTTGATATAAATGAAGTAGCAATTTAGTCACCTCAAGGTGTTTTTTTTAGGAATGATTTCCTGAAGTTTCCCACTCACAGCTGGAATAAAAGTGAGCCTAGAAAATAAGCCGGTACATGCTTAACAGGACTGCTATATTTCAGTGAAAGAAAAGACCTTCACTCCTCTATGTTAACTCTTTCTAAAATGAACAATAAAACAATTCTATCAAGCAGCCTTGCTAAATAAAACTATGTTTAGCTAATACATTTACAAGTCCTTATATGCAGTAACAAAAATCCATATTTTAAAAAAGAGTGTTACAATAAACACCCCATCATTTTTTGTTAATTCAGACAATTTTCATGTTTCTGCACAGCATGAGGACAATACTACCGTTAACAAAATAAAGTATCATCAACATGTGGACCCGTTTTATCAGCTGTGCGGCATAGTTTTCAAACACATAATTTTCTGAGCTCTCTTGAACCCCACACTTAAAGCGGAAAATTAGCAAGAAATTCCTTATAACCCTATAGTCTAAATAATTTTTTGTATAAATACAGCTTCAAGATTCCTTAAGAAGAACAGAACTTTTCTTATCTTATTTTACATGAAAAATAAGATTCTTAGCTTCTTGCTTCCCCACGGTAATGCTAGTAAGACATCAGGATGACTAACAGATAACACTGCATATAATTTATTGGCAAGTTAGCTGTGCCATTTTTGTCTCTTTTTGAAAAAACACAGTGTAAAATTCCCTGTTCTGCTATTTCTCCTCCTCCCTTTGACAATAACCTGTTGAATGATGCGGTATCAGTGAAGGCTAAATCCTGAATTATGTGTGTCTTGGTTCTACATGAAAACTCAATATTCCTATTGCTCAAAAGTAACCCTATTTCACAAGGATTAATTCAGAAATACACAACATACTTATTCTCTATTGCCTTCTTATATATTATTTTCATGATTTCCTACATCATGATTACAGCAAACATACTTGAATTATCAATTGTTTATGTGACAAGTCTATACATTCATCAGGAGACATTCATTAAAGAAACTGAGTGACAAGCCATATAATTGTTTTAAAACATTCTGGACATTGGGAAGAACAAGAAGATAATACTCCTTTTCTGGAGTCTACTTTCTCTTTCAAATCCTCTTGTCTGCAATCACAAATATCTTCCACCGATGTGTTGTGTGCACATGCATTGACATGTGGAATCACTCCCCGAAAGGGAGGTTGAGAAGTTGTCCAGAGTTATGTCACGCTTCAGAATATTGCAATTATTGCCATTCTTGTGAGGCCTAATAATTTCACAGAAAATTATCCATTGGGTACTTGTGTGACACATGGAAAAAATTAATTAGCTGAACTACAGCACACAACAGAAAGTTATAGATTTTCAAGGCATATAAAGCTGTTTTCTAATAAGTCATGTAAGAAGGTAATGTAATTTCAGGAAGCGTTCAAGAAATAGACAGGTTTTAAGATACAAGTCCTGCAATTCACAGCCTTACATTTCATGCTGTTTCAGACTTGGGCCAGTGATCAATTTTACCTCAAAGTGCAATGTATTCTAAACATCACCACACAGAATTATCTAGGCTGCAGATCACTACCAGGAACATTATACTTGGGGTACTGCTACCAATCAAATGAGTCACTGGGTGTGCTGATTTATTCTAAAAATGCTCTGCACAGCATCAATAGCTTGCATATATAAAATACAATAAATATATAGAAAACATCTGCTGGTGAAACTCAGGCCTCAGAGCCAGTGCAGCCAAGTCCATTCTGCCATTTTGTGC